GGCCCGCACAGACAAGCGTAATGATCCAAAATTTTATTTGTTTAGAAGGGTCGATAAGTACAGCGCATTCAAGACATGAATGGGTCTCTAGTCTGTCTTGGTAGCGAGGTTTTCTTCACTAGTGCGACTTGTTGACATACGAAGAAGATTGTGTTTACCAAGGCAATACTGATTTTGGTACATTAAATTGAATTTAAAATGTAACTCTTCCCGATGGGCCCGTGCAAACGCATAATGTAATTACGGAAATTCGACCCGTGAAAATTTTTATTTTGCGAAGCATTCAGGAAGCGTCTGTTCCCGTCTTCAGCGCGTTGGTAATGGCAGAAGATGCGTTAGTAGGGCACTGGTCAGCCAAAATTACTTTAAAGGAAGCCCAAACCTACGCGCTATTCTCCGCAATGACAAAGAAAAAGTACCATTGGACCGGTGCCCTTGAATAGTCTACGAAATAAAATCTGATTGTTCTGCCTCTTACATTGGCGAAACGGGAAATAATTTAGCACATAGATTTCAGGAGCACACGAAGTCCTTAACGAGGTACACGAATGCAGTCAATCGCTTGAACGGAGAACATTCCAATACATCACGTGGACGCCCCCCCGGCACTAGAGCCACATGAAGCAATGGAGCAGGCCACTCAGTCGTCAGCAGTAGTACAACATGCTGCGCACTGCACAGGCCAGCTGCATGCGAAGGTGCTCTGCGGAGAGCACCAATTTATGATTCGGAAGATTAAGGAACCGATTTACATAAAATACAATTCAAACATCAGTAGGGACAGTGGCATAGCAGTCGGTGACTCATGGACGAACATCATGCGGGCCTCTAACTGTTGCCTTTTACACGGATCTTCTGGGGTTAAAAAATGATTGTTCACGACGGATTCTTGGGACTAAACAAAAAAGACCGCCTCGCCCGTATCCTCCCAATTCACTCTTTCGTTCTTTCCTTCCTTCCCCCACTTTTAATACTATTCCCAGTTTTTAAATCTCCTAGGAATCCCGTCGTTTAAAGTAATTTTGGCTGACCAGTGCCCTACCAACGCATCTTCTTCCATTACCGACGCGCCGAAGACGGGAACTGACGCTTCCCGAAAGCTTCGCAAAATAAAAATTTTCACGGGTCGAATTTCCGTAATTACATAGTGCATGTAGCACATCAAACAGTTATTGTTACTGTCAAGTCTAATCTAGTGTAATGTCTCACGGTCCTTTCGTTCTCTCCTTAAGTGCGCTGACATTTGACATGACTGTATTTAATCTAATAAAGGTATAGGAAATAAGAAGCCTTCAGTCACTCTCGATCAGACAGCTGCGCATAATGGATCATGAGTTACACTAACGATGAATCCTGAATGATTTGAAAGCATCGTATTTTCCATAGTTTTATTATTAACCAGCCGCCCTTGCCGCCGCTACGCGGCGACATTCTCGACTGGTCTGTGCCGGACCTTCTTCGTAATAATGGCTTTTATGATTTCACTTGCAACTTTGCTTAGCGTGTACGGAACTCGAACGCATATGAATTGGGAAGACAGCGGGAGGGGGGTTGTTTAGTGCCAACAATCCGTCATGAATAATCCTTGCCCAACCGCAGGAGAGTCATTTAAAAGGCAGCAGTCTGTGGCCCTGATGATGTTAGCCCAGGAGTCGCTTACTGCGATGCCACTGTCCCTGTTAATGTTGGGATTGTATTTTATGTAGAATGCTTCTTCTATCTTCCTAATCATAAATTGGCTCTCTGCAGAGCACTTTCGCGTGCAGTTGGCCTGTACAATGCTCTGCGTGCTGTGCTACTGCTGACGTCTCAGTGGCCTGCTCCATTGCTTCATGTCTTCATGTAGCTCTAGTGTCGGGGGCGTCCTCGTAATGTGTTGGAACGTTCAAGCGATTGACCGCATTCCTGTACCGCGTTAAGGCCTTCATGTGCTCCTGGTACCTATGTGCTAACGTATTTCCCGCTTCCCCAATGTATGAGGATGAACATTTACATTTTATTTCGTAAACTACTCCAGGGCATGGGTCCAATGGTACTTTCTCTTTGTCATTACGAGGAATGGAACAGAGGTTCGGACATTGAAACCCAGCCTGCTTCCAACTCGTTTAATTTTTCCCCTAAGCTTGCGCAGTACGGGATGATAAGCAGCGGTCCTGAGGTCCGTGCGATTCGCCTCACGTACAGCCATATCCTCTGCTTCTGGCTCACCTCGCAGCCTTTGCCAGGGTGACAGCGCAAACGCGCTAGTATTTACTCGTATCGATCCGCGTACGGCAAAACGTCTACCTTCGCTGCGCCAGGACGCCAGCGGCAACGGACCGGTGTCCTAGAAATGGCAGTTAGTCCCGTGTCACCGTGTAAAGGCAGCGAACACACAAAATTTCCCTTATTTCATTATATATAGTATGGATAGATTTACCAGGTTTATCATTATCCCAGGTACGAAAACGTACGCAAGCCTTATGGAAAGTGCTGTATTCAGCTTCAGCTACATTGTATTAATGTTGATAGTCCAGAATAGACAAAAAAGATCACCAATGCAAAAGCTGCGTTGCTTGATTACTCTGAAGACAGACGTGGCTAGTTCAGAAAGCTCTGTTAATTAGACTCCAAATGGAAATGAAATAAAATAATCGGCTTACCACCTTTACTTCCTGTTTTCATTCTCCTGTTGTCCATAGACGTGCTCACACACTGAGGATGCCTACTCTGATGACTACACATCCGTACATTCATCGGCAACAGAGAAGCCACTGCGAGGCTGGCCTGTCTGCTGTCATTCGAAGCACTTATAAGGCTATAGAGGCATACACAACTGAACCATTGAGTCTCTTGGTTTGCAGACCCATTTCTGCTCTGAAACTACCAGTTTTTCATCCTTTTAGCAG